TCCAAAGGTGGGACATTGTTCGTTCAAGCACAGTAGAATTGTAAATGGGCTGATTCATCACGTCACGCTCATAACTGTGCTTGATCTACAACAGGGAGCTCCTGCTTTTTCTTTCCTAATCCTTACTATCGTCATTTTCCTTTACTTGTTTTGTATGTTTGTCACTCTCTTGTGACCTGCTATTCCCGGGGTGCCGTGATAGTCGAAGCAGACTTTGTGCTGTTGAAGCTAGAGAGGTTAAAAGAGTAAGTCTGATTCCCTGTAAAGACTTCTCTGTTGACACCCACCACTTCGTAAAACCCTCTACTATAACTAACTAAATTCTTACTTTAGTTTTTTTTTCTTCAAATTACCTTGTCTTATTCTATGTCCCGTTTGTGTCATGGCAGTGAACGACAAGATCGTGAATGTGATGTCTCTGTTCCGGCGAGCCAAGTACATGGAGACTCCCTTCCGTGTGGTGTCCTGAGGCGGGCCGAGGGGAGAGAACTCTGTCCCTCACAACCACACACACGAGTATTTTCCTGGTTACATCCCCTGTGTCTGGCTTTTCCCCGCTCCGCCTCCTGGCTCAATAAAAAAATTATCCTTGTCAAGGGAGATACTGTGGCTGGCTTTGTGTCTATTGTATCCAGAAGCTGAAGAAATACATGTATGTATATAGTCGTGTTTGGTCTGATAAGTTTTGTATTTGTGTCTGGGAACATGAAGAGACAGTATTTTTTTGTTTTTTTGCAAGTTCTGATTAGCTTTGTATAAAAGTGTCTGGGAACATGAAACGTCAGCGTTTTCGTGTTTTGTCTGATTAGCTTTGTATGCGTGTCTGTGGTGAGTGTGATGTCTGGGACCAGAGGTTGTGTCTTTCGCAAAGGTACATATTTTATTTTTGTAGGCCTCTTTACACAAATTTTTTCACTTCACTCAGGTGGGAATGGGTACCCGGCTATAGATGCGAAAGAACTTGTCAGTTTGTTATTGTTTGAGAGCTTAAATGATACTTGCACTGTGTGCTTCCCGGGAAACCGAGAATGTTGCTGAGAGTTCTAGGGTCTGCAGGGGTAATAATACAGATTGTAAAGCGCTAGAGCATGCCGTAGAGCGGGGATATGTGCTATCTAAAAGCAGTTATTATTACATGTATTATTATTATTGATATTATCTCTACGAGTGATGAGTGATGTGTTTGTTTGTGTGTGCATGTGTGTGTCTGTGTGTGTATGTGAGTGAGTGTGTGTGAGTGAGTGTGTGTGTGTGTTGAGTAAGGGACATTGTCTGCACTAGGACAGTTTAAATCACTATATCATTGTCTCTAAGTAACCCCCCC